CAGTCAAGGGCACATACCTCGGTTGCAGTTTGCCCTGGGCTCTGGTGGGGGTCCTGGGGGAGGCAACCAGTCGATGTGTCTCACTCACATCCATGCCCCCCCCAATCTCTCCCTCCCACTGTATCTGAATATAAATGGAAAAAATATTCTCGGGTGAGGATTAAAAACATAATGAAAAAAGAAGAGGAATAAAAAGAGAAACATCTGTAACAAAAATAAATGAATAAAATACAATGAAAAGACTCACAAGGCAGAACCTCCTCTGCGTGGTTTCTCCCCAGGGCCCTCCGGAAGGGGGGCTGTGTCCCCAGGGCCCCGCTGCCCGCCTGCAGGGCCTGCAGGGTGTTTGCTACCGCAGCCGGGCAGACAGAGGAAGTGCTCCTGTGTGGGCCCCTGGTAACAGGCCGTGTGGCTGTCAGGCTCACCTCGTGCTTCCTCTGCCGCTGAGGGACAAGATGCCCCCTGCCCGGTCTGGTCCTGTGGGACGTGGACGTGGAGGGTGAGACCAGAGGACAACCCGGCTTTCCGAAGTGGGGAATCAGCAGAGAACTGCTGGCTTCAGGTCCAGGGGGCCGGGACCCCGTGTTCACCTGGACTGTCCTCCCTGCATGACCGAGCCCAAGCTCTGGCTAACCGGCCCCCCACATTGCCCACCTTGGGGATACGTTCACCCCCAGACACTGCCCAGGGATCGGGAGCTGGACTGGTGCCCTGCACCGCCCCCCAAGAGGAGGATCTGTGGCCTCGGGCTTAGAGACCCAGCCAGGAGCGAAGGGCGGGCTGGGTCTCGGGGCCCCAACTCATTCTCGGGGGCCTCGAAGTCTGTGCCTGTGTGGGAACAAATTGTTTTATTCGAACTTCACTTTTTTACAGTAGTTTCAGGTTCATAGAAAAGTACAGAGTTTCCATCTCCCCCCTGCCCCCACATATGCACAGCCCTCCCTATTACCACCATTCCTCACCACACGGGATGTTTGTCACAAGGACACCCCAAGTCCAGAGTTTACATTAGGGTTCACTCTAGGTGTTGCCCCTTCTGCAGTTTGGGCTACTGTGTAATGACATGTTGACACGTATCCATCATAATAGCCCACAGAAGAGTCTCACTGTGCTCTGCCTAGTCAGCCTGGCCCCCACCAACCCTGCGGACTCTGGGTTTTCCTGTCTCCGCCGTTCTGCCAGAATGTTACCGTTGGAACGATACAGTACGCAGCCTCTGCAGACTGGCTTCTTTCACTTAGACATACACGTTTAAGGTTCCTCCGTGTCTTTTCAGAGTCAGATAGCTTCTTTCTTTTTAGTGCTGAGTAATATTCCAGCATCTGGATGGACCAGTTTATTTATCTATTCACCTACTTCCCAGCTTTGGAGCTTATGACTAAAGCTGCTATAAACTTCTCATCTGCGTGCAGGTGTTTGTGGGGACGTACGTTTTTAATCCTTTGGGTAAATACCAAGGAGCATGATTGCTGGATCCTAAGAATATGTTCAGTTCTGTAAGAAACTGCCACACGGTCTCCCGAAGGGGCCGTGCCGTGCGGCGCCTTCACCGGAGTCCCCGCTGCTCCGCCTGTCCGCGGCGCCTCGTGTTGTCAGTTCTGGGTCTCGGCCCCTCTCACGGCTGTGTAGTGCTCTCTCACTGTGGCTTTAGTTTGCCTTTCCCTGATGACAGGTGACATGCGGCATTTTTTCGTAAGTTTATGCACCATCCGCATATTTTCTAGAGATGACAGATAAGCAATCTGTTCATCAGTAAGCTCAGAAAGAGCATTTCGTGCACACGGCAGTAAGAGTGGCAAGAAATGGAGGTCTGGAGGCAGACGTACTTGTCTCTTCCTAGCAGTGTGCTCTCCTGAACCCGAGCCTCGCCTGAGCGATGGGGCAACACCTCCCTTTGATCCAGTGAGGACGGGAGACTGATGAGTGACTGGCAGAGTTCAGTCTACGGGTGGCAGGGAGGAAAGTTGGATTGCCCTGAAGTGCTTAAGACATTGATTGGGACGGTGAACAGATTGTCCTTTCAAGGATACAGTCAGAGTTCACAGAAATGAAGTACAAACGTCACTGCACTTGGAGTTGCCCCTCCCATCACTCAGACCAGAAGCACGAATCCGAGCAGGACAGCCGGGGGCAGACGCATGCTCACGGGTAGGAATGTCAATTGGTTTGCTTTGCACGGCAGTTTGGCCCTATCTACACATCCTTACGGACTCTTTGACTCAGGAGGACCCTACTGTTCTGCTAAGAACTCGTCCTGTAACTTTCCTTCACGAATATGTAAGGACAGATGCTTCCAGCCACATCTGCGGTGGCAGACACTTACCCTAAGTGTGGCACCGATCAGAAGATGTTATCCATATTATGAATCCAAAACACTCATTCCAAAGAAATCCGTCCAAAGGATAGAAATAAATGAAAACATTGGCAAAAACATAGGACCCTACTTGCCAAACATGTGGCCAGTCCGCTGGAGTCTGACTCGTGTAGCCTGGAGCAAGGGTCCGAGGTGGTCTCTGGCGGGAACTCTCCTCTGGGGCAATCTCCCAGAGCTCCAACGCTTACCCTAAGGCCTGAGCTTTTCCCTTCCCGCTTTACGTTCACAATAAACAGAATGCGACTGGAAGATTTAAGGGGGGAGATGGCTAATGGAGCTCAGGACCAAGGGTGTGTGTGTGTGTGTGTGTGTGTGTGTGTAAGACTAAATTTAGAGGAGAAACCACCTGTGCGCCGTACCTGCGGTGACTGTCCTCGGGCCCTGGGGAGGCAGGAGGCTGAGGTTCAAGACGCGGCGCCACTGGCTAGGTGGCCTCCGTTTGCTGCGTTGGGTGGGAGACGCAGATCTCGCTCACACTGGAGACACTGACATGCTCCCTTCCCAGGGAAGACCGGGCACAGCAGCCACCGAGGTGCGTGCGGAGCCCTCCGAGGTGCGGCTGCACTGCGCCTACCTCGCAGGCCCTCCCCTGCCTTCTCTCATGGCTCCTTCCCCACGACATCTTATCGGCCCCTGGAAACCAACTTTTCAGAGAAGGCTCGGGGATTTCTGCCTCGCCGATTGCTGCCTAAACACACAATTCCTGCTCCTTGGCCTACTGGTCCAGGTCCAGCCAAGACTAATTTCTGAGCTGCTCACTTCCAAACAGTCTCCCTGCGGATGCTTTGCAAGTGCCTGGGCTCCTCTACGGCACAGACGCATCACGTGCTCACGACAAAATCACCTACTGAGCGTTTGCTATGGAGCCAGCGCTGGGCTGGAGGCGAGAGGCTCGAGTAGGACTTGCAGGGTTCTGTTCTTTTATCCTCACCCGAGGACACTCTTGCATTTATCTTCAGATAGACCAGGAGGGAGGGAGAGAGACACCAATGAGAGGGAGACACATTGGCTGCCACCCACATGACCCCAACCAGGGCCGGGGACAAACTGCAACCGAGGTACATGCCCTTAGCGGGAACCAAACCCGGGACTCTCTGGTCTGCAGGCCGACGCTCTAACCGCTGAGCCAAACTGATCAGGGCAGTTTCTTTTTTTAAAATTTTAAATTAAGTTTTAGAGAGCGAGGAAGGGAGAGAGAGATAGAAACATCAATGAGAGAGAACACTGATTGGCCGCCTCCTGCATGCCCCCCACTGGGGATCGGGCCCACAACCTGGGCATGTGCCCTGACCGGGAATCAAACCAGCGACCTCTTGGTGCAGGGTCGACGCTCAACCACTGAGCCACACAGGCTGGGCTGGTTTCTTTCTTTTTTTTTACCCTCGCCCAAGGACACTCTTGCATTTATCCTCAGATAGAACGGGAGGGAGAGAGGAGGGAAGAGAGAGAGAAATATCGATGCGAGAGAACACATCGACTTGCTGCCACCCACACGACCCCAACTGGGGCCGGGAAAAAACCTGGGACTCTCTGGTCCACAGGCCGACGCTCCAACCGCTGAGCCAAACCAGCCAAGGCTCTTTTTTTTTTTAAATCCTCACCTGAGGATATTTGTCTATCTTCAGATAGAGTGGGAGCGAGGGAGACAGAGAGAAACATCATTGTGAGAGACACATTGACTGGTTGCCTCCCGCACGACCCCCACCAGGGCCGGAAACAAACTGCAACCGAGGTAGGTGCCCTTGGCCGGAAATGAACCCGTGACTCATTGGTCTGCAGGCCGACGCTCTACCGCTGAGCCACACTGGCCAGGGCAGGGCTGGCAGGTCTTTATCACAGCTGGGGCGCTGGACGCTAAGGGAGGGTCACCCACTGGGGAGGCCACGGGAGCCCTCACTCCAGGACAAAGCCAAGTTTTGAGAGAAAGGGCAGCTGAGTGACGAGGCAGGAAGGGACGCGCAGGCGCTGGAGGCGGTGTGCAGAGGGAGCCCGCGCCTGCAGCCCTGGCCCGGCCGAGTCCAGGCGAGGCCCCGGGGAGTGCAGAGGACTGCTGAGTGACCAGGGGCAGAGTCTGCCCTAAGGGTCTGGACCTGTGGCCCAAGGACTAGGGTAAAAAATGCACAGATGTCGCAGGAAGCCCACCAGGGAGTTTACATCAGGACTCTGTTCATTACAGCTATATTTTCGTGTCTATCATAGGCCCTAGATTACCTGAATATGCTCACAGCAGCGGTTTTGATTTAGAAATTCGGGTTAACTAAAACATTATCAGTAGACTTATACACCAAACCTTTGTTACACTTTTAAAAACTAAGAACACTAAGATTTTAGGTCTAAAAGTGTTCACCTGCAGCTTTAGTGGTTAAATTTTGGTAATAGTAAAAATTATTTAGGGCTCCCTAACTAAACAATTACTTGGATCATTTCAGACACTGGTAAGGAAAACTTAAGATGACAGAGCCTGAGGATACACGCTGGGAAATAAGAAGATACCAGGAGATCCTTTGCATCTCCACCACGTTTAGACCTCAATTCTGCTCTACTGAATAAAAGGAAGGATACATTAAAACTAAGTAACAGGAAATGACATATTACAAAATACACATATAAAATTTAATCCCTTTGGTTTAAAATACATCTTCAATAATACAATTACAAATAGTAAACAAGACAAAATCAATTTCATAAAACAAAATAGAAAATATTGTTATATGACCCGTGTCCCATGGTATCTTATCTTAGAAAACCAGCAATTTAGTTCACATACTTCATTAGAATACTTTAATGTAAGAATGTAACTATCAATCCTACTTATACAAATGAACTAGAGCTCCCTGAACCTAAAGATACCCGTGATTTTATGTTATAAAATTACACTTTTGAGTATTTCTATATATTTAAATGTGTACAGAATGTCCCCCTGCCACGGTAATCCAGTCTCATAAATTCATGAATGCTTTCTAAACTGTTAGCATACAAGATAATCAAAGCGTGAAGGCTCTGAACATGGTAAAACGTCCTTCTCCTGATAGAGTCTAGCAGGAAGATTAGAAAGAACTGCATTGTGAGTGGTGTCACCCGGTGAGCAGTGTGCACAGTGTGTGCATAATTAGTTTGTTCACTGTGTTAGGTACATGACTGATATCAGCATACACAGCACACGTGAACTGCAATAGTGTTTTTCCTTTACTTCATTTGTTAAACAGTGCAGAAATCCAAATAACAACATTCTCAAAAGCAAACAGTCTGTCATCTGAGAAGGTTTTGTTAAGCTATGAGATGATTGCTGTGTTTGGGAAAACACAGAGAAAGTGTTTTCGTGGGTTCCACGAAGCAGTGTTCCATCTGCTTGGTATACATTATAAAAAATAACTTAACCTTTCATCTAGGCAAAGTCTTTAAGGTAGTTCTCATTGCATCTCTTCACTGTATGTACAGACACCGCATTTATATATTATCTTTATATAAGACACGTATGTACACATTTACAGACACAGGCTTCAACAATGTATTGCACTTATATACAATGTAGCATTAGCTTAACTGATTCCTACTGTAACCCACTGAAGTTCTTCATAAGAAAGGCACTTGAAAAAAAAAAGAAAGGCACTTGATGTGTGTTCAAGAAAGTTGTTAAGGAAGATTTCAGTAACATGCTCTGTTTGAGTAAACATTTATGTGGGTACTGGGGGAGATGAGAGGCTAAGGGAGAAAGGGTGGATCCTTTCTTCTTGGAATGCAGCTCCCACTAACCTGAGGCAGGAAGTTACACTGAGTCTGGGCCAGGGTGCAAAATCCTTAAAGCCACACCCATTGCCTTTTGTGACCTGTACTACTAAGCAGGCCCACTAACATCAAAGAGGCAAGGGAGACATCCCAGTATTTTTATAGTCTGGTCATTGTGCCATACACCAGAAACTAACACAAAATAATATTGAACGTAACCTGTAATAAAAAAATATTTTTATAAATAACATAGCAGATATCCTAAAGGTTCCCAGAGAGTCTATCAAATCTTGGAACAAAGTTTTCATTTTTAATCCTAAGTATTTATATTAGAAAATTCAAACATAATAATAGTGTACAGATTCCTCTGTCATCTGAAAAACGCCAATGCAATATATTCAACACCATCTCCAAGCCAAGGGCAGGGCCATCTCCAATCCGAAAGGAGTCCCTTCCCCTGACATCCACACGTGTTTGGAAGGCGGCTGACCCATGTACCTGTGGCTTGGCAAACGGTAAGGCCTACGCAACGCCTGCATTAAACTCGTGGGACCTGTGGGCCAGGGTGCCTCAGATCTCAGTGAGGGTGAGTCTGTACGACCCCCCCACCTCTTCCATCTGCAGCTGGAAAGTGTCCTCATTGGAGTAATGCTTCACGATGTTGTCATCCATGTTCACCAGAATCCTGGAGGGCAAGACAGACACACTCAGTCCTGCTTACTTGGGAGTCAGATTTTAGGTAGCTCTGCTATTTGCTAGCTGTGGCACTGAAGCAAATTATTTAAACTCCCTAAGCCTCGATTTCCCCAACTATGAAATGGGGATAATACTAGAGCCTATTGTAGGATTAAATGCAGACTCAAGTAAAGTACTTGTAACAGTGCAGGGCATGCACTCAACAAAACATATTAGCTTATTTCTTGCTATTATTTAAGCTTGTAGTAATCACTTAATAAACAACAGCTATTATATTGAACACTAAGTCCACAGAAGAAGTTCTTCATTGGTCCAGCTTTAGAAAGCATATCAGCCCTGGCCGGTTTGGCTCAGCGGTTAGAGCGTCGGCCTGCGGTCCTGAGAGACCCTGGTTCGGTTCCCGCTAAGGGCACGTACCTCGGTTGCAGTTTGTCCCCGGCCCTGGTCGGTTGTGCGGGTGGCAGCCACTCGATGTGTCCCTTTTCACATCGATGTTTCTCTCTCTCTCTCTCTCTGTTCCTCCCCCCCCCGCCCCCACTCTACCTGAACAAAAAATGGAAAAATGTCCTCGGGTGAGGATAATAAAATTAAAAAAAAAAAAAAAAAAAAGAAAGCATATCAATACAATTAATCTATGGAATCTGAAGCCAGAGATCCCTGACAAAGTATCTTCCCTGACAACTTATCCTCAAAGTTTAACTAAACTACTACTAAGTCCAACTCTTCCCACTAGGCCCATAGAGAGAATTCCAATTAGGATTTGCTTTGGAATTAAGTGAAAATATTTTACGCTATACCCTGCTCAACCATGCCAAACAGCACAAACACTTAAATAACACAGAACTAACTAAAAACACCTTCTGGACAAGGAAGCCCTGTTCTATGGCTGGAAACACGACCCGGGGCAGGACAGCGGGTGGCAGGAGCAAAGGCTTTGCAGTCGGTCAGGATGTGACTGGAACGGTGGCCTGAGGGTGGGCAAGTCTCCTGGCTCTGCTGCCTCATCTATGAACTCTGGCTAGTAACACCCAGGTCAGAGGGCAAGGTGGAAGGCAGTCCCGTGGGAAGCACCGGCCCCGCCCGACTCCCCAGGGCTCTGCAAGGGGCAGCGGCCGGCGGCACAGGGGTGAACTCCGCAGTGGGCTCTGGAGCTTGGGGCCTGCACGCTGCCGAGCATGAGAAGAGCAAACACAAGTCTCACGGGAAAGAAAGCCCAGGAGGATGCTTAGAAAGGCAGCGGAGCTCCACGTGGGTGATTTCAGAAAACCCTTCTGGCACGGATGTCGCTGTGAGGCTCAGGCCTGGGCATGGGCGCAGGGCAGTGCAGCCGTGGGCCGAGCCCGCCCAGCTGCTGGCAGTGCAGTGATGCTCACCCTTTTTTACATTTCTTGAATATTTTCCCAATCTTGTCATGGGGAACATCATATTTGTCTGAGATCTAAAAGAGCAATGAAAAATAATTACAAAATGACGTTTTAATGGCTTTCACAAACTATATATATATAAATATAGTGAGATAGTCAACTTTGTTTTTCAAAATGTTTATGTAAACACATACACAAGACCAGTCCCTATCCTCGGGGGGGGGGTGGTGGTGGTGGTGGTGGTGGTGTTACCGACCTTTGGAGGGAGCTGGAATCAGGTGCTTTATTCCCCTAGTTTCCAGATGTCCACAAACGTATTATATGGTCACAGTTTTTTTTTTTTTAATTTAAATTTTTTATTGATGATGGGTCATAGTTGTTTTTTTTCCCCTTTATTAATTTTAGAGACAGAGGAAGGGAGAGAGAGAGAGAAACATCGATGAGAGAGAACATCGATTGGCTGCCTCCTGCATGCTCCCCACTGGGGATCAGGCCCACAACCTGGACATGTGCCCTGACCGGGAATCGAACCGACAACCTCTTGGTGCAGGGTCGACGCTCAACCACTAAGCCACACCAGCCGGACAATGGGTCATAGTTTTTAAAGAATATTTTGTAGAGCAATTTTAAGCTTACGGAAAATCTGGGAAGAAAGTAGAGCTGCTTACCCTGCCCCCCCCCAAGTTCCCTGGCTATTAATTCACATCTCACATCAGTGGGTGCACTTGGTACATGCGACGAGCCAATGTGCTACAGCGCTAGAACTAAAGCCCACCGTCTTCACTAGGTCCACTCTTTGTGGTGTACACGCCACAGGTTTGGACAAACGCATCAGGACACATATCCACATTGTCACAGGTATTCTGATCAAGTGTACAAAAGCCTTGCTTTGGGGTCAGACGACTGGAATCAGCTCCGATTCCCGCTGTTAGCAGGCGACCTTTCTGACCCTCAGGCTTCCTCATCAGTACAGTGAGTGTCAGCTCACACACCACAGGACTAATGTGAGGATTAAAATGTGTCTAGCACAAAATAGTCGTTAATTTCAGATGTAGAATTATGGGAAGGAAAGAACATTTCAATATCCACAGCCCAAAAGAAGCATCCAAGTCCCTGATCACAAACTAAGAATCGTGCCTCTGCCAGTTCGACCCAGAATCTCTTGAGAGCAATGAGACTCCTGCAAAACCAGAGAGGTTCTGGCCAGCAGTGCTGCAACCACGAGGGTGTGGCCCTCATCCCCCACTCAGCCTCAGCAACACCTTTTTATGACCAACAAGTGGTCCACACAGCACAGGGAAATCATATGGTGCAATCTCTGGACGTGTTCCTTTCAGGGCACAGAGGTCATCTTTTTATTATTATTATCATTATTTTTAATCTTCACCCAAGGATATTTTTAGATAGAGTGGAAAGAGGGAAGGAAAGAGAGAGAGAGAAACATCGACTGGTTGCCTCCTGCATCACCCTGACCAGGGCTAGGACTGAACCACAACCAAGAATCAAACCCACGACTTTTTGGTCTGAGAGCCAATGCTCTAACCTGAGCCAAAATGGCCAGGGCACAGAGATAATCTTTAAAGAGAGAGTATGCAGCCTGGCTGGTGTGGTTCAGTGGCTGATCATCAGTCCATGCACCAAATGGTCACTGGTTCAATTCCAAGTCAGGGCACATGCCCAGGTTGTGGGCCCGCTCCCCAGTGGGGGGCATGCAGGAGGCAGCCAATCGATGTTCTCTCTCATTGATGGTTCTCTCTCTCTCTCTCCCTCTCCCTTCTTCTCTCTCTAAAATCAATAAAGAAAAAAAGAGAGAGTCTGCATTCCTCCAAGGGCTAGCAGCCAGCTCAGTCTGGCTCAAACGCTTTACGTGCACCTGTCCAGAACGTTCCACATGGGCTGGACCGCCTCCCACCCGTGTGAACAGCGAAGCTTGAGGCAGCCCTGAGAAACGGGGTCTCCGAGGACCAACCTTCAGATCACTTCCGATCTAACAAGAATAGACATTTCAAAGCAAATCCGAGCTCCCAGCGTACAAACCAGTCCATCTCCTTTCTGTGCCCTGGGTAGTACTACTCGGTATGTTTATGAAATCCCAGTCCCGAGAAATGCTCAGGCAGTGACGAAACCTTTACAAGTTGTTAACAGTTACACTTGGCACAAGAATCTCAGTCTGTCTCACACTCTCCCCTCTCCACAATCAAGCCTTTGCATGATTCTTAGAAATGAGGAAGGGCCTGGCCGGTTTTGCCCAGTGGTTAGAGCGCCGGCCCGCGGACGAAAGAGTTTCGGGTTTGATTCCAGTCAGGGGCACGTGCCTCAGCTGCGGAACAGTCCCCGGCCCTGGTCAGGGTGGTGTGGGAGGCAAAGTCAATGTGTCTCTCTCACATCAATGTTCGTCCCTCCCTCCCTCTCTGTCTGAAGATAAAATGGAAAAAAGTATCCTCAGGTGAGGATTAAAAACAACAACAAAAGGAATGAGGAAGGGCTGTCAGAAGACAAGGTGAGAGGCACCAGGGGAAGTCGCAGGGCAAAAGGGCAGCAGGGGACCTCACGGAGTGGTTGTGACCCACCAACCAGTGTGTGGGTGCCGCGGTGTGACACTGAGCGGGGCCGGCGCAAACCACCGAGGACCACACGAGGCGGGTGAAATGTGGGCTGTGCCCTGGCCCCAACAGAACCTCGGAGGTTTTAGTGTGACAAAGAAATCTGGATGGTCTGCAAAACGTGTCCCGTGGAATTCTACGGCAGTTCGCCTCCCTTTTCACAGAGGTTTCCAAACACAGTACTTACAGCCTCCACCAAGCCCTTCAGAGACGGAGTCTTGAGCATCAGGGCATCGAAGACTTCTTCTGACTCCTTCCGCACGTAGAGCAGCACTGATCCCATCGGGAGCAGGAGGCGAAGAAGAGAAAACAAAGGAAGCAGTTCATTCACATGAGCAAAACGAGAAAACAGACGCCAGTCGAAATAAACAGGGACAACCACACAGAGGACAGCAAACACGAGCCAATCTAAAACCTGTCTGGGGAACCCGGAGCTCAGCTCCTGGGAAGGCTGCTGTCCGTTCAAGCCAAGCCAGGGGATGGGCTGACAGAGGAAAACTCAAGGAAGTCCAACTGGACAAGACTGGTTTGAGCACTTTGTGCTTCTGACAGATTCAGAACTCCCTTCCCATCACTTCCCATTGAAACCCCGCTGAGACATGAAGCCAACACACCTCTCTTCGGTTCTTCTGCCCGGGGCAGCTTAGCAGGAGGCGGAATCGCGAAGTCGTCCTCCGACCCAAAAGGCCCCCTTTTCAAGCTGGGTCTGCAGAAACAAAGGCGCAATTACTGACTTCAACTTCAGGCACTTACCAAAGAGACTGGATTTCAGACTTCAAATGACCTTCATTCTATGTCTGCTCAGCCTCCTTATTCTGTGGGTGCAAGTCGAAGGCCCCGAGAAAACACTGACAGAGCCAGGGGTGCGCTCAGGTCGCCCGCCAGACCCTCCCACCGCTCTGACCCCAGGTCAAGCTGCCTCCCCGGGAACCGGCAGTTCCTCTTCAGGAGAATGTGGCGGAGGAAGCAGAATCCTGGATCTGTGTGAAGGTGTCAGCGAGGGAGGGGCTTGCAAAAGGGAGACCACCAGCAGGAAAACGGAAGCCAGGCTGGTGGAAACAGAAGGCCCGCGGGAAGCCGAATCTGAAGGGCGGGGCCTCCTGTGACATAGCGCGACCATTCAGCGCTAAGGAACCCTAGATGTTACATTGCGGGAATCAGGGAATCTGCAGAAGCTCTGGGATGAGAGCACTGTGACCAACATGTGTGCAGACTGGAAGTGACTCCAGGACCTAGAGCAGATGAACTTTGGGGACAATCACAGCAGTGACTCTAGGGGCCTGACACACAGGTGTCCGTGGAAACAGAAAAGGAAGCTGGACACAGATGGATACAGCTGGTGTGACCGGCTGTCAAAAGCATAAGCTGTGGGTATAACACTGAGGTTCAGGGTGGGTGAGCGAAGACAGAATAACTGAAAATGGAGCAAGGGCGTGCTTGGCTGTGAGCAGGATCGTCACTTAAGAACAGGGGCTGGGTCTGTCCCTGCTCCTAGAATATACCAGGCTCCCCTGCAAGCGCATGGAGGACGTGGGTCTGGGCACGGAGAGCTGGAGAGGGCGGGTGGCCCGGTGAGAGGGCACCGTGGCTCGGGGGAGGGGGAGTCTGCACCAGCTCCTTTTCTGCTATAAAGGACCGATGGCAACAACCGGCAAGACCTGAATGGGGATGAAGGCCGCCCGTGTCAAGGTCAGCGTCCTGCCTGTCACGCAGGAGAATGTCCTCAGTTGCAGAAAACACACACTAAGTATTTGGGAATGACGGGGTCACTGGGTCAATGGCTCAGGAAAAATGAGTTCTTTGTATCACCATTCTGGAATTTTTCGATAAGTCTGAGATTATTTCAAAAACAAAAAGAATTTATTAAAACAAAACATTAATCTTACCCTTCACCCTCCAATTCTTCTGAGGCAATGGAAAGGATCTAAGAACAACAACAGAAAATAGATTTTTTTAATTTGACCAAACTAACACAAAGTCCTTCAGCCTTATTTTCACTAAGCAGACCCTTAGGGACACCCTGAGCCCCCCGCGCAGGGCTGGCACACAGGCAGACACGGCACACTGGCGCGGCCCCGCCCCCGTCCCTGCCAGGTGCCCCGCGGCCACGCCTGCTCTGGCACTGCCAGCCGCAGAGTGAAGGAGTCACGACAGACACCGCACGACCCCCCAAAACCTAAAATAGTTATTATTTGACCCTTTTTAGAAAAAGTCTGCCCAAGCTTCTCATGAGAACGGAATACACTGGCAACGGCCTCCCCGAGACTCTAGAACCACCAGTCCGTGCGAACCCCGATCTGCCCCGAGCGCACGGCAGCGCCGCTCCCGTGTACCTGAGCTCAGCACAGAGCGCACGCTGCACCCCACTCAAGTTCCCACCTCTACGGAGCTCTGCGCAGGGCAGGGCACGACTGTGTCACATTTCACAGCAGCTGCCAACACACAGCTGTCCGTGTGCCAATGATGACTCAGTGACTGAATCCGTGTCTTCACACCAAGAGGCTGCCTGACCCCACAGCTCCTCTGGCTTCTCCCTCCTGTCCACACCCACTGAAGTTACATTCACGAGATCAAAGACTCAAACTCTAACTTACATTACTATTTAGCATCTTTAATATGAGCTAAAACAGCCCTGGCCAGTGTGGCTCAGCAGTAAGAGCGTCGGCCCACGGATCAGAGTCCTGGGTTCGGTTCCCGCTAAGGGCATGTACCTCGGTTGCAGTTTGTCCCCGGCCCTGGTTGGGTCGTGTGGGTGGCAGCCACTCGATATCTCCCTTTCACATCGATGTTTCTCTCTTTCTCTCTCTTCCTCCCTCTCTCCCTCCCGCTCTATCTGACAATAAATGCAAAACTGTCCTCGGGTGAGGATAAAAAATAAATAACTAAATAAAATGAGCTAAAATATAAATAACTAAATACACACAGGATTCAGTTGATGGGTCTGGCACTGTGTTTCCAAATCAGCAGTGCTCACGCGCCCTGTACTGCTCACACCTCACGCGGCTTTGGCGCACCGAAGCCGCTCATCGAGTGTTGCTTCCGCAGCCACCCTGGGCCCTGGCTACGTACGTGAGTGCCCCGCTGGAGGTTGGCGAAGTGCACGTCGGGAATGAAGAGCACGGGCTGGGTATCGAGGTCCACGAAGGGCTTGAAGACCGTGATGTCCATTCGCTTGTGAGAGGGAAGCAGCGGCACTTTAACGTCGGAGACTGGAACACAAAACGAGGTCCTCACAGTCAGCAGCTTATACACAGACTGGACACAGCTGGCAGCCTCCCCCGGGCGGATGCTGGGCCACGGAGGATGCAGGCCAGGCACCCTGAACAAGGGGAGCACAGCTTGTGTGCAAGGATGTGGTGTTTACCACACTGACACCAGAGGAGAAAACATCTTGGAACACGCGCGCACGCACACAGAAGACCTGGAACAGAGGCCAAGCGTGTTTAGTTTCAGGCTCAAACGTAGTAAGTGTACGGACATAATTGGAGTGATTCCCCCAGCTCTCCTCATTCAATCATTCACGTTCTAACAGCAATGTCTCTCCCACCTCGGAACACACACCTTAACCTCACGTCTTCTACTTCGGAACCGAACCTCAGCGAGGCTGAGAGCGAGCATCCCTGACTTTTAGTTTATGAAATTACAGACCCCACCCCCATCGCCCGAAGTCCTCGGTGGGGAGCCTTCCTGGTCCCGGCTCCCTGGTGTCGGGAGCTAGCCCTGTGAGGCCAGCGGGGACCCGGCGCGCTGGGCGATGTCAGCGAGCCAGGCGGGATGCGGACAGCAGGCGCCAGGCCCACGCGCTGCGGGGCAGCCGCAGCTGGCAAAGGCGGCGCCTCCCCCGTTCTGGCCGACAGACAGGCTTTAGTGAGGATGGATGCTGGCCACATTCACAAGAAAAAACCTTTCCGGTGACACGTCCCCATGGAGGCTCCTTAGACCGCAAATGTCGGAATACGGCACGGAAGAAAATGACTCATTGGGGATTAAGAATCCTGAATTCTCAAGGGTGTTATTATTCTTAAAAATCCAGACCAGTCGCAATCTGCCATCAGCCACTCAGGTGGAATGTGCAGTCCTCCTGGGGCTGCGGCCGTGACCTGCGCTGGGGCCGGCAGCCAGGGCAGCCTGGGCTCCAGACAGCCCCGGGAAGCCCCGGGAGCTCCCCAAGCAAATGGCTCTGCTCAGCCCCCGCCTGCCTCTGCGTCTGGCACAGGGAGCAGCGCTGCACCACTGAGCCGTGGACACAGCCACTAGCCTATCTTCTGCTTGAGAACGCAAGTCCCCCTCTGCAAGGACAGGTCTGAGCGCCTGGACGGAACGTTCTACTTACAGGCGTTCAACTGGGAGCTGGGGTCGGGACACTTGCCTTTTCTTTTGCTCTGTTTTCGTTCTTCGTCCCTGATTTTTCGTTCTGCTCCCTGTAGGTCGAGACAAGATGAGACAAAACACGACTCTGTTTATCTGATCCTCTTTAAAATATTTAACTTTTACCCTGAGCAGTGGGGGTGGGTGGGGACAGCGCCTCTGGAGACGGACTCCGTTACCTATCATGTTCACGGAGCTTGTTACAGCAGTGTCTTTACAAAGCCTATTCTTAAAACTGTTTTAACTCCATGAAATCACAAGGAAACAACAGATTACATGAAAAGCTGGCCACACTGTCTTCAGAGATATGAGTGCCTCTCCCTGTTGTTTAGTAGCAGAAAATGAGAAAAATGTGGACCCTCCTGTGAGTGTCCTTTCCTCCATGGGCAATGCTACACTGACGCGGGATTCTCTCCAAGGACTTGGCGTCAAGTAAGTGACAAGCACGTCCGATGGCAGCTCACGAGCAGAGGTCAGACTAGAAAACTGCGGCCCCGAGGCGGGCCATCTACACAGAGTGGCCCTGCCACACCAGTGGCCCACAAAGATAAACAGAACCACATTAGCAATAAACATGACCTGAAATTAGGTAAGTGAATAAAAACAGAACTATCACTTAGCCATTTTGCTTGAGCTATTGGCATTTATTTCTGGTTGGCACAGATTTCTTTACAATGTTATCCAGTTGAGTGAATTGGTGCTTATTTTCTGCAAATAAATTCCCTGATATCAAAGAGGCAATGAAAACCCCCCTGATTCTGGCACTATTATAGAATAATAGCATGTTACAAAAACCAGCATTCAAGACCACTTCTGCCTCATCTAGAGGGTGTTAATATATTGATATCTGCTTATAAAAACTGCTATTAATATCGACACGATGTCACCTCCCTGACTAGAAAAAGAGGTGATATCTCCAGCCTCCCAGCCGTTCCTGCACGGAGCTGTCCATGTCTCCCAGTCCCCCCAACAGTGTAGTATGTTTATGGTGAACTTCCCCACTCAAAAGGCAGCTTTACAAAACAGGCCGTTTTCCTCATGTACCAGTTCCGTCCCTGAGGAGTGCCAGGACTTCTGCTTCCACTCAAGAGGGAGTAACACAGACCAGATTTATCCTCCACCCAGAAACAACTAAAAAATACGTCCGAAAAAAGCATGAGAAGGATTCTCAAGGCCCTGGCAACCCCTGAGAAAGAGGAACAGTGAGCCAAGCCTCTGGGGCACCTGCTGACGCCGTCACATTTCCAGGCTGTGGCCTGGGGGTGACGTCTGGTGGTCTCCTCGAGCCAGTTCCCTGGGTTGAGCAGACAGGCTGAAAGTTCAGAGGTCAGGCAGCAGGTCAAAGCAGCCATGGGGACAAGTCACAAGAGAGAGAACCCCAGAGATCTTCGGAGGGTCTGAGGGCTCAGCAGCGCTGACAGTACCTGGGGGTGGGGGGTGCCGGCAGCTGGGGGACATCTGCACGGATGAGAGAATGGTGCTAACTGGCACAGGGCCAGAACAGGCCCGTTCCCACACCGGGCCTGGAAACTTGCAGCTCACAGGGCGGGGGGCAAGGGGGGGGGCAGAAGGACCCGCCTCGGGGGTGGAGAGTACCTAGCCTTACGGGGCACCGCTCCATCAAATCATAAAAATAAGACCTGGAAAGGCTCCAACTGTTCCCAAGTAACTTCACTAGATTTAAGCCCAAGTTCAAGAAGATTCCTCAGAAGACAAAATGATCCAGCACCCAGCAAGGCCAACCTCGCGGGGGCGGGTCTCCAAGAGGACCGCCCAGCATGCAGGGGAGCAGGACAACGGGACCGAGGCGCACAAACCCAGACCGCCATGCGGCACCCACACACCGACAAGGACGTCCCCACGGACTCCTGAGTGCAGTCCACGTGTTCCCCGAGCCAGTGAGAACGGAACACGTTCAAGCAGGGACTTGAAAGATATAAAACTGATCCAAGTTGATCTTCTACAGATGAAAACTGTAATGTCTGAGATGAGAAGTACGCACGATGCAGATGAGGAGAAACGAAAGGATGGTGACCTTGAGGACACAACAACAGAAACATCCGAAAGGAGACAGACAGTCACCCAGAAAACCAGAAAGCGCCCCAGCGAACTGTGGGACAACTAGCAGCCCGCACATGTGACTGCCTTCCCAGGGGAAGAGAAAGGTGAGACACATCTGAAGAAACAATGGCTGAAAATTTTCCAAATTTGATGAAACTATAATAAACCCACATATCCAACAAGCTCGATGAACTCTAAGCACAAGAAAACAGACACATCAACATGCTCAAAACCAGTAAAAAGAGAAAATCTGAAAACGAGTCAGAAAAGAAGACACGCAAACGCAGGGGAACAAAGCCAGTGATGACAGCAGACTCCCTGTCAGGGACTGTCTACACCGTCACCCACGCCACATCTTTAAGCATTAAAGGAAACAACAGTCTCCTAGAATGTGATACTCAGCAATGAGATCTTTCAACTGAAGACGAAAGACTTTTCAGACATACAAACGCTGAAAGGGTTCATCACCACAGACGCACAGCAAGCGATGTTCAAGGATGTCCTATCGCTATGGAGACAATCATCTACATTCAGGCTGTTTTGACTCTTTCCCTCAGTCAACAATGAGGCTGATCTTGCAGACTAACATCAGGCCATGGTCCCAAAAGTGAACCCATAACATTTGATCCCAGTTATAGCTACAGGGAATATTACTCTACTGAAGAAGAAAACTGACTGAAATAAAGTGAAATAAAATAACTCTATAGGACATAGTGTCCATGAAAGTTTTGTGTTAGGACAGGCCAGGGATGTACACGAGTTCACAGAGAGGAGGTGCCAAATCTCCACTGGTTAATGATCCAATCTCTGTCCCGTTCTCTCTAAAAAGTGCTCAATTGCTGCTGCTTCTGAAATAGGAGAGAATTCTATTTGTCAAACTAGTTAAGCAACTTGTAGCAAAGTGCTGATAAAACATCTTGGGAGAGAAAAACAATTTAAATACCTCTGAAGGATACCAGAAGATGTCTTATTTTTTAGTTTCTTACTGTGAATGTAGACCAGATTCATAAAAGGGAGAGTTTTAAGAGCCAGCAGAGGGAAATGAACTGACAGGCACTAACTAACACACCAATCGAGTCTCAGGAAGAAGAGAATCAGGAAAGCAGGTGGGACATTCCAGAGGAGAGGCAGCAGGAGACAAACCTAGAAGAGAAGCAGCAACACAAACACTAACGACAGAAGCTGTAGCAGGTGCATAGGAATCCGGGGGTATGAAGTCACAGGAGTTGCATGTGGTTGAAAGGTCTAAGGATTTGCAGATTAATTACACACAACACATCATACTATTTTCTTCTCATGCAGGATTTTTATATAATCCAGAAGAGCTTTGAGATAAAAAACTGGGGATGAAAACAGCGTATGATTTCACCTCCACGTCCCCGGGGTACCTTGCTATGAGCTGACACTTGTGACCACCCCTCTAAGCCGTAAGGGCTGAAACAGGAGGACACCAACACTTCTGCCTCCACGGAGATCTATCTCTACTCCAGCCAGCAGGAGAAAAGGCAAGGAGAACTTTCGGGACTTACGGAGAGCCACACCATGAAGGCTGAGGCTACCTGGGCAAAGCCTGCTGCACGCCGGTGCCTTGCTTCTCCCTCGGCCGTGTGGCTGCCGTTAGCACCAGATGAGCTCACACCGAGTCGTGGAAGTGGCAACTGACTCTGGCCTGAACACTGACTGACGTGCTGCCCAAGACCTCGACAGTGTGGTCCACGGCACAGGGCCTGAATGACACAGGCAGTAACACCAGAAGCCGGGACTTTGTTGCCCAAACCGCTCCCAACCGTGCAACCTTGAAGAAAAGGCATTCTGCTCACCAAACACACTAGCACGCGCTCACTTGGCAGAGAGAACTAGTTTCCAGACTTGGTACAACCACTAGTTAATACAGTAAGATAACACTGGACAAGGAGTGAACTTGCCTGTGCTTCAGTTTCTAAGTCAGCTAACAGAGGAGCTTCCTCAGAAAGTCTTGATGTTGAAGCCACATTTGTTTAAGAGCATGAATCAGTCCTGTTCCTTCTCTTAAACGCGTGCCCAGTTTTCACCACCTGGTGGAGAGCGTGAGTTCATGCTCACTGGTGCTCCCATCCTCTAGCATAGTCATAGTTCTTAAATATGCTTTTACGGATTTCAGAGAGTGGAAGGGAGAGAGAGAGACTGAAACATTGATGAGAGAGAAACATCAACTGGCTGCCTTCTCCACACCCCCTACTGGGGACTGAGCCCAAAACCTGGGCATGTGCCCTGACCAGAACGGAACCAGAGACCTCCTGGTGCATGGGATGGCACTCAACCCACTGAGCCACACCTGCGGGCTAATACAGTGATATTCAAAGTGTGATCGTGCACCGATATGGTTACAGCTGAGTTAAAATACAGCAGAAATTGAGAAAGCATTGGAAAAGCAGATAATTTTAAGTCTGATGCGTCTAATTAAAAACTGGGGCCTGTGGCTTGTACAATTTTGTTTTGTGTTTCATTTTCCCAGCAATTCATTTACATTTTTATGGTATTTTTCAGAAGTATAGGTTCACGGAAAATTAGAAATAAAAATCCTGGTCCTTCGCCGACGTAGGTCATTGGAGACACGTCCTGAGCGCGTCGCTGCCTGCAGACCCAGGAAGCCGAGGGGCCCCAAGGATGGAGCACGGCCGGCGTGTGTCCCACGTGTGCCACCCAGGCGCTATCAGACGTGCCCCACAAAATGTCATTTTCCTGTCAAAACAAGATTTTTTTCTTCCTTCTATACTGTGTCCTTGCATGACTATGACAACCCCGCTCACTCTAACCCTGTAACAGCAGCACGTCCACAGTGATCTTTGTGTGAGGAGGGTGCACCTCGCACGCCTCCTCCTAAGCACCCCTCCCACCCGACAGCCTCACCTTGTCACAGAACACCTTGATCTGGCAGTAGGCCCGGTGCACAGGCTTGTTGCTGCGGTTGTTGTAACTGTAGGTGTCGATCTGAATGTTCAGAGGCAGCCCCTTCACGCCCTTCTGAGAGGAGAAGTCTGTGCTCAAGCAGTTCACGGAGATGAAAACCTGCAGAGAAAAGGCTCCGTGAGCAACGGGCACCAACGGCCAGCCGAGCCCAGCTCGGAAAAATGCTGATGCCACCGAAATTACTCCAACTCGCTCCAAATGAGCGCAGCTTCTAACGCAAAAGGCATTTTTAAAATGGGTTTATTTTAAAACCACTTTTGGTCACAGCAATGGCAGACTTTAAAGGAAAACAACAAACAGGAGCTTTGAACTGCTGTCTCTCCCTTTCCAGAACAGTTATTTACTGCCACACAGTGGACACGCTATCTTTCTTGGTATCACTTTTTTTCTTTTTGAATCCTCACCCTAGGATATTTTTCCATTGGTGTTTTTGGTACGTGCCCCTAGCGGAAACCAAACCGAGGGCTCTCTGGTCCACAGGCCAATGCTCCAACCGCTGAGCCAAACCGGCCAGGGCTTTTCCATTGCTTTTTAGAGAGTGGAAGGGAGGGAGGAAGGGAAAACATCTATGTGAGAGAGACACATCAATTGGTTGCCTCCCATACAAGCCCCAAATGGGGCTGGGGCTTGAACCAGCAACCCAGGTGCGTGTCCTTGACTGGGAATCAAACCCAGCACCCTTTGGTGCACGGGCTGGCGCTCTAAACATTGAGCAACACTAGCCAGGGCTCTTGGTGTCATTCTTAAATGTTACTAATAGCGCAGGTTTCCTTTGAGGCTATTTCATAGCTCAGTATAAACTCTCTGGGAACCTGCCTGTATTATGTCTCAGTGAGTGACATTATCAAAGTGGTACTGGGGGTTTTTACTTAGCGAGTCCCAGGTAAACCTTCATACAGCAAATGAGCATGCTCCATTTTCCCTCCTGTTTCTGTGATTGTCGATTTTTAACCTCTCCACACATGGTCACAATGTTTTTTGAGCGCTCTTTCAACCAGTTCATTTTAGAATTTATTTCTGATGCATGAGCACCACGCAGTGGATATTGCTGGAACCACAGTGTCTAAAAACAGGCTGGCACATTTCAAGACTTACAGGTCAACAACCCCTCAGCCCTAACAACCAAGAACAGATCTACCACAGTACAGGGGGGTCCCAAGACCCAAACAGGGATGAGTTTACGTTAAAAAAGGGGGAAAACCCTGTAAGAACGTAAGATAAGAGAAGGGAGTGGAAAGAGAGGGTAAGGAGAAAGAAAAATCATAGCCACAATGACAAAGAATTCTCTCTAGAAAGTATGCAAAAAGCGGAAATAGAGTTTCTAGTCTTCCTCTAATCTCTCTACTGTCTCTAAGTAGGAAAAGACCAAAACATCCTAAAAGACTGAGAACTTGCCCAAACGAACAGACTTAGGGTTCACCTCTCCTCCTGGCCCCTCACAAGCTCTCTGGGAGACTGGTCCACTCACTGTTCCCACAACACCTCTTCAATGCTCGCTCCTGCCTCACCTCTCTGCTTGTCATTCCTCCTCCTCCTGTCCCTCTGGGTCCAGTCTGGCCACCTCCATGGTTCTCCTCTGCCTCTCTAATCCCCCCTCCACACAATGGCCCTGTTCACCCCGACTCGAGTTGCGGGGCCACAGCAGTGACACCATTCTCTGAGCACCCGAAGTTCCCAGACCTGCGCTGGCCCGTCACACACGTGGTCCCCCTCTGTCATCCCCACAACCGTGAGAGACAGTCCTGTCCTTTTTGTTTACAAGAAAAGATGAAGAGATTTTAAAGTTGCCCCCACGGCAGCAAGCACGGGGCTGGATTCACTCCAGGACTTGCCCTCACACCCTGCTACCTCTTTCCCAAGTCCGCTCTCAGCCAGCCCCCGGCTGTCCTCTCCCACACGCACGGCCAGCCGCTCGCTCACGCACGCGCCTGCGTCTCCCCGACTGGTCCGTACGGCCGGCCACTCGCACACGCTCACGCCTGCGTCTCCCCGACTGGTCCGTACGGTCGGCCGCTCGCACACGCACGCGCCTGCGTCTCCCCGACTGGCCCGTACGGTCGGCCGCTCGCACACGCACGCGCCCGCGTCTCCCCGACTGGTCCGTACGGTCGGCCGCTCGCACACGCACGCGCCTGCGTCTCCCCGACTGGCCCGTACGGTCGGCCGCTCGCACACGCACGCGCCCGCGTCTCCCCGACTGGCCCGTACGGTCGGCCGCTCGCACACGCACGCGCCTGCGTCTCCCCGACTGGCCCGTACGGTCGGCCACCCGCACACGCACGCGCCCGCGTCTCCCCGACTGGTCGACGTACGGTCGGGCCGCTCGCACACGCACCGCCTGCGTCTCCCCGACTTGGCCCGTACTGTCCGGCCGCTCGCAACAACCGCACGCGCCCGCATCTCCCCCGACTGGCCCGTACGGATCGGGCCACATCGCACACAGCACGCGCCTGCGTCTCCCCGACTGGCCCGTACCGGTCGGCCACTCGCACACCGCACGCGCCTTCGTCTCCCTACTGTGCCCGTACGGTCCGGCCACTCGCACACAACACGCAACGCGCCTGCGGCTCCCCGACTGCGCCGTACGGTCGCCCGCGTCGCTACACCGGCACGCCAGCCCCGCGTCTCCCCGACTGGCCCCGTACGGTCGGCCATCGCTACACGCACGCAGCCCGCGTCTCCCCGACTGGCCCCGTAATGGCCCGGCCACGCGCACAACGCACGCGCCCGCGTCTCCCCGACTGGCCCGTACGGTCGGCCGCTCGCACACGCACGCGCCCGCGTCTCCCCGACTGGCCCGTACGGTCGGCCGCTCGCACACGCACGCGCCTGCGTCTCCCCGACTGGCCCGTACGGTCGGCCGCTCGCACACGCACGCGCCCGCGTCTCCCCGACTGGCCCGTACGGTCGGCCGCTCGCACACGCACGCGCCCGCGTCTCCCCGACTGGCCCGTACGGCCGGCCACGCGCACACGCCTGCGTCTCCCCGACTGGCCCGTACGGTCGGCCACGCGCACACGCATGCGCCTGCGTCTCCCCGACTGGCCCGTAGCACTTACTAGGCCAGGTCCATGTTCTCTGCCGTGTACCCTTCTCAATCCTGAGCCCGTGCCTGCTCTAGGGCGGCCTTGTCTTGCCCGCTGTGGCTTTCCTTTCCATTTAACTCATTTTTAGTAAAAAAGCAAAATGATTTTATTTTTAAATGCCGAAATCTAGATATATATGGCAAAAAAGTGATACACATGAATTTCAAATCCATTACAGAAACGTAGTGCTCTGACTGTATATTGTTAAAAAACACTTCACATAGAATCCATAAACTTGAGTTAAGGAGCTGGTCGATGGAACAGACAAAAGAAAAACAGAAAGGCAGACGGAAACACAGACAGAAAGGCAGACAGAGAGACAGGAGTCTATGCAAACGACCGAGCACATAAAGTAACCAAACCACTATACATTTCATCTTACAGCCGATGGAAAACCTAAACTTTTCTCTCTCATTCTAGATCCCATGCTTAATTCCTAATGCAAAAACAGCTGCCTTGGGAGCGTCATACTTCACTCTCCATAATCCCGGGAAGTCTTTGACCCAAAATGACACTCCCTTTACAAGAGGATTCCATGGCAGCTCACCCTAAAACCTAACACCCCCTTGCTCCCCAGTGTCGAGTTTCTATTCAAAGCAGAAACAGCAGCAGCCACGTCCCAGGATCAAGATCAGCACGGACACGGAGCCTTCAGAGAGGCATCACCCTCACCATTATTCACGGTTACTTTAGCTCTAGAACTCAGAGGTTATTAAAACAAGTCTCAATACATGGTTTCCTTTCTGTAAAGAGTTCAGATAGTCTTACAGGTATTTATACACATCCTTCAGATTTTTTAATAAAACATTTTTTTAATCCTCACTCGAAGATATTTATCTATTTATCTTCAGATAGAATGTGAGGGAGGGAAGAGAGAGAAACATCAATGTAAGAGACACACATCAGTTGGTTGCCTTCTGCACGACCCTAACCAGGGCCAGGGACCAAACTGCAACCGAGGTACCTGCCCTTGACCAGAACCGAACCCGTGATTCTTTGGTCCATGGACCGACACTCCAACCTCTTAGCCACACTGGCCAGGGCTAATAAAACATTTTTTTTAACAGCATTATAGCCCTATCACATAAGAATATTATTTTAATCAATGGAAAGCTATCTATTAAAGGAAATGTTCAACCCTGTTGATGAACAAGTCCATGCAAATTCTCAAGACTTAACAGTTCATAGTATAGTGACCAGAAAAAAACCTACTAAAACCTGTCGGACTCTGTTTATGTTTATTCTTTAGGTGACGTTTGATCTTCATAGTGGTTGCCATTTGTGGATGAAGCGTGTGTTCAGGTGAGGGTGTAAGGTGTCTCTCTGAACTACAGCGTAAGGCTGATTAGCCCCACGGAGCGGTGAGCTCCTGAGGACAAGACAACACTGAACCAGCCCTCTGTGCCTGGTACACAGCACTGCATGACACAGGTGTTTTCAATAAAAGAAGGAGTGTGCAGAGGGAGTAGTGAACAAACATGGCTAAGAGCAAGGACAATGTAGACACATAAAATAGCTTTCATGTTATTTATCTAAACCAGAAGTTGGCTAACGTTTTCTGTAAAAGGGCCCAAGAGTATTTTAGCTTTTGTGGGCTACAATGCAACTACTCAACTCTGCAGACACAATGCAAAAGCAGCCACAGGTAGTAAGTGAACAAAGGGGTGTGGTGGTGTTTCAACAGAACTTTATTTATACAAACAGGCAGCTGGCTGGCCAGGCCAAGCATGTAGTGTGCTGAGTCAGAGAACCTAACCCACTCTCTAAGTTGACCCTTACATCATCGCCATGTAGTAAACAGGCAGGAAGTATTATTTCCCTTTCTGTAATTCAATACTTCTACTTTCCACATAAGTGACCTGCTGAGAAGACATCCAGTGTGGATTTCTTGCCAACATGCCATTCACCCATGGAACACACCTCAGTGATACGACCTACATTCATGGACGGGACTAGGGTAAGTTTTGAGGGAGAAGTTCAGTATCCAGGAATCTTTATTTAGGAAGGCGACAA